ATATTTACTTCATTGGCAAGTTGCAAGAAAAGAGGAGTGATCTTTTATATTAAAGATACAATTCCGTTGAAATCTCCCATCATGCAAATACTTGTGTAATCCAAATCAATTATTTTCCTGTGTAGTATTCTGTAAAATTCATCTTGTTCATCATTAGGCGCACAAATTGCTATTAAAAGTATTTTCTTATTATTATCCATAATTTCCACTATTAAAATTCTTCCATCATCATCTGTATAGATTTGTTCCACTGGGATTGTATCTTTAATATAAAAGATCACTCCTCTTTTCTTGCAACTTGCCAATGAAGTAAATATTTTCCCAAGTTTTGGTTGCACTAATAAATGTTCATATTGCTTCTGAATATGCACTTCTTGTAGACAAATTATATCCGGTTTTAGTTTTCCTAGTTTGTGGAATATTTTCCTTCTTTTATTTGCTGCATTAAGTCCATTTATATTAATTGAGATCATTTTTTTCTCTTCCATGTTTATGTTTTATACATAGGATTTATTGCTCTAGTGGATCTCGGTTCTCATGGTTCTCTAAAGTCCACACCACCTACAGAACCTTCTTCTATCTCAATCCCACCTACAGCTCCTTCTTCTTTCTCAGTCACAGCTGTAGACACCACTTGGAGTTCTTTCACTATTTCTTCATTTTTAGCCTTTCCTCTCAAATGTTCTGCAAAAAATGCTTCTGCTTTTTCAGTTGAGTCTATTCTGTATCTTTGCCCTTGCCATACCAACATTAAATCTTCTGGCATCAGCTATCTGTAATTAATGCCTTTTTTGAGTAGAATTTTAAGACTACAATCTCCTTGCCTTTGTACTCCAATTTTCTGTCTCTTGCTTTTTGAAGTATTTGCATCTTAATTGCTCTTAGTAAATCTTACATGAACTTCCCTTGGAAGATCAATTCTCGCTGCATATCTTGTATATACTCGAAATGCCTCATCTATAGCATCCACTATCTTCACCTGGATTATCTCAAGGACATCTTTCAGAATTTATGTCATTATTTGTAACAATTTCAATGTTTGTACAATGTTTTCCGTTCGTTGTTCAATATTTCCCATTCATTGTTCTATTGTCTCAATTTTTTCCCATGTTCTATGTTCTCTTTTCAATTATATCCGTCTTTGCATGTAACTTCTGGATTCCCTGCATAATCATCTTTAATGTAACACCCTTTTCTTTCTCCTGCTGCAACATTGTTTGAATTGATCTTTGGCTTCCTGCTGGTGAGGAGGAGGGTGTTGTTGTTGCTGAACCACTGGTTGTTAATTTTTTACTCATCTTCAAATTCTTCTATATTATATTCCATTAAATATGGGAATAAGTTGTAATTCAAGGTGACCATGGGGTAGTCAAAAATAAGAAAAAATAAAAAGGAGAGTTGGACCAAAAAAGGAAAAAGCCCAAAAGAAAAACAAAAAGGAAAAGGAGAGCAGACCTACTGTGAGAATCAAAAAAGCAAAAAAAAAAAAGGAAGAAAGAAAGAAAAGAGAAAACAAGGTAAAGATAAACATCTTCGACCTCTTCTATGCCCTTATCCAATTAGATCCAGTTAAAAAAGAAAAAAAGAGAAACAATTCCAAGATAAAAGTATTGCAATGTGTAAAGGCAAGGATTGTGAAGAAAAAGTATTTAAATTCTCCCGCAGTCCAATTCAACCAAAACAAGATAGCAAATGTCTCCAAAGGATGAGAGAAGAACAAAAATTTAAAAAAAAAACCAGAGGGGAAAGTTTTCACAACAGTGAAGTGTACCCACTGCCACCAGAAAAAAAAGTTTCGAAACTTTTATAAAATGAAAGCCTTTTCAAGACCACTCTAGGCTTTCTCTTAAAGTTGTTATTTATACTTTCCAGGCAGCTTCAAACACCAAGGATTTCAAAGTGAGCACTTGTGTAAATAACCGTGCTCATCTCCTATCAATCCCTGGTTAATTACCGTGGCTTTGGAAAGAACAGCCTTTCTCCAAACATCCATACAAAAATGGAAACAATATTTCAAAGCTTCTAGATGGCAGTGTTACTTATTTCTCACTTTTCCTCTCTGTATTACGTTCTCTGCCTTTGGTATAAAAAAAATAAAAAGCCAAATGGTAAGAAAGAAAAAAAATACAATAATACTTTAAACTGAGAAAGAGATTCTCAAATAATAAAGTTTAGTTGTCAAAGAGTCCAAATGGAAAAAAAAAAGAAAATAAGCCAATCCCATTTAAAACTGTGCTACATTGAAAGTCCAGTCAAGCTTCCGACAATAAAAAGGAAAAAGAAAAAGGAAACTTTCACTTTGACTATCCCTTAAAATCCGCCGCTTACTCTCTCATCAGTCTTCATTTAACTTAAGTCTCTTCATTTAGGGTGTTCTCTCAAATAAAAAAAATTAAAACTCTCATCAAAAATGATACACTTCTCTCCTGCTCTTTTACTTGTGGAGCTGTCGGCAGTTTCAGCAACTTTTATGGCTGCTTCATTGCCTCCGGCAATAGGGGCTTTTCCTGGATCACCAGAGTCTTTGAGGGTGCTTCCGGGCTTTCAAGACATTCCATGAATTGCATCTGAAAAGCCAGTATAGTTTGCAAAAGTAGCAGAATTACAGAGACATGTTGCATTATTTTATTCTAAATGAGTTAAAGTGACCATTTACCAATTCATATTGAGCAGTGAGTTAATCCTAAATGAAATCAACTGTCCTTTGAAAGGACAGATATTGAGCCTGAAGTTCAATTTTTTTGGCCACCAAATAAATTGTGACCATCAAATGAGAAGAAAGGAGTCATTGGAAAAGTTCTTGATGTTGGGAAAGATTGAAGAGAAAATGAGAAGAAGATTGTAGAGGATGAGACGATTAGATAGTGTCCTTGATGCAATTAACATGCATTTGGGCAAACTCCAATAGACAGTAGAGGACAGAGAGGCCTGGCGTATTATGGACCATAAGGTCATGAAGTGTCAGACACAGCTTACCGACTGAACAACAACAACAACCAATCATAGGAAATCATACAATGAAAGTAGATCTTGCTTGAAATGCATATAGCAATAGCACTTAGACTTATAATACCGTTTTATAGTGCTTTACAGCCCTCTCTAAGCAGTTTACAGAGTCAGCATATTGCCTCCAACAAAAACAATCATTTTACCAACCTCGGAAGGATGGAAGGCTGAGTCAACCTTGAGCTGGTGAGACCCAAACTGCCAAACTGCTGGCAATCAGTGATCAACAGAAGTAGCCTGCAGTACTGTATTCTAACCCCTGCGCCACCACAGCTCATATTTTCATTGTCTTGAGCAAATTTAATATAACAAAAATTCTTCATGTGTTTGTTCATGAAAGTGTGTGAGAATGGATTGTTCCTGAGTTCCCCATGTTGTATTACTTAGAGTTCTCTTATTTAGGTGGGCATGGCCAACTTGTAAAATGTGGGCATGGCCAACTTGTAAAATGTGATGAAACTCATTTAACAACAAAGCTTAGCAATGAAAATTTTGGGCTCAATTGTGGTCATGTTCTCTTTCTTTCTTTCTTTCCTTCCTTCTTTCTCTTTCCTTCCTTCCTTCTCTCTCTCTCCTCCTCCTCCCTCTCTCCCTCCTTCCTTCCTCTTCTTTCTCTCTTACTCTTTCCCTGAAATGAATGTGCTGGCCTCTGGCTCTAATCAGTCCTTACTGTGGCTAATAGTTTCTGAAATTTTCTTATTTAGAGACAGTAATGCTACCAGATATAATTTATTAGGCATAATTACTTCAAAAATACACCATTTAGTGCCTCTTAGATTTTGGCTTGCTGGGAAATGTGATAGAAACTTGCATAGTATTTTGTGATTTTTTTGTTAGATTCTGGAATAAATTATCCTTATCCATCAGGGCTTATATTCTATTTATCAATAGACACATAGCATAGTCTGGTTGAATACTATTGGATGACTAGCTGAATTCTGGAAATTGATGATTATGAAAGAGAATGACTAGATTGATCTAGAAATTATGAACTTATCTTTAGGAGGAGGAGCTTTTAAAAAGCACTCTAGAACAATCGTAATGGCCCTATAGGTCAGTGACAAGATGCTCAGGTATGTTGAGATTGATGCTAGCTGGATCCAGGCATTTGTTTCTATTTATGATTGTACTCTCTAAACAGGTCCATCTAACACCTATTTTGTTGATCTCCAGTTGTCAAGCAAAAATATTTTCATTCAACACCTTTAATTAACTATACTCTTAAGTTGTGTCTTAAAGCCGCTTTGATCTCTCTGGATCTATTTTCAAAGTTGTAAAAAAGTGTTCTACTTTTTGCTATTTACAGTTACAGTAGCTGGATTTTCATTTGTTTTCTGTTGTTTTTTTTTTGTATGGATAGATATGGATCTTTCTCTTTCTTTCTCTCCCCCTTCTCTCTCACACACACCTAACCCTTCACAACCCCCCCTCCCGCAAAAAGCCTAAAACTTTATTTTTTAAAGCATTTTGCACCCAGGGAAAGTCGGAACATGGCACATCAGCCATACACCACCTCCACTGTCTTTGAAGGCTTTCTCTTGTGCTTCCAAAACCCCTCGGCACTCTTCACCTGCGGTCACCCCTTCAACCTCCCACCCGTGGAGGATATGTGGTGCAGATGAGGGGCACTTTTCCCCACCCCCTGAATAGTGCGTAAGCTGAGAAAAGTGAGAGGGAAGAGTAGAGCTGTTCTTTTTTTCCGGGGGCCAGAAGGAGGCGAGGCCGCCTCAAGTGCCATCCGGGGACCCTCAAAGACATCGCTTTTTGGCCCAAAACAAGGTGAGGAAAGAGTCTTTCCAAGCCTCCTCCCACCGCAGACACACCTTCTCTTTTCTCCTGGTGAGATTTGCTGCCTGAAAGGTGACAATTGTGGAGGAAAGTATTTTCAGGTGGAGGATCCCCTCCCTGATTCCAAAAACAGTATGTGCGGAAGGCACTGCCACCTAAAAGCTCTTTCCTCCATGATCCTTGCATCTGCGGTGGGAGGAGGCTTGGCGGGTATCAGAGGGGTGGCGAGTGCTTGGCAGCTCCTGAGAGGGCCAAGGCTTTTCCACTTGCAATGTCTTCACCCTGAGAGCATCGCTGGCAGCTGCTTCCCACAACTCAGGAGGTCTCCACTCTCTCCACTGATGCTTCTCAGCCTGAAAATGCTTTCCTCATGTTTCAGGCCAAGCAGTGTCAGTGGGAAGAATGCGAGAGTGGAGCTGCTCTTTTTTTCTGTGGGGAAGAAGGAGGCAAGGCGGCCTCAGGTACCATCTGAGAAAAGCCCTTCAGAGGCGTCACTTCTCAGCCCAAAAAGCAGCTTCATTCTCTTTGACAGCCACCTCATTGCAGTGGGGAGGGGAGAAATCCATGCATTAGAGGGGTGAGAAGGCCGTCACTAGCAGAAGTTTGGCCTTCTCCCCCCTCTAAAGCATGGATTTCTCTCCACCTCATTGTAAATGAGGCAACTGTCAAAGAGAACGAACTTGGGGCTTCTTCTAGCAGTTAAGTCCTCTGCTCCTGTTCCTTCCTTGGGTGTTGGAAAAGCCCCAAGTTCGTTCTCTTTGACAGCCACTTCATTTGCAATGGGGTGGGGAGAAATCCATGCATTAGAGGGGGAAGAAGGCTGTCCCCAGCAGAAGTGGGGCATGTGGACAGGCGGGGCATGTGGACAGGCAGGGTGAGAGAGTGAGCAAGCAACGACCGGGCTAGCAGCGGGGAAGCAAGCGGGGGAAGGTCAGGGGAGGGACCATACCAGTAAGGGGCCTCTGGGTCTACAGATATGCAAACATACGCCTGATTTCCGCTACTGGTATATGCATACCGGTGTGAACCGTTAGGAACCCACCACTGGTTAGGAGTGGAAAACAGAACTTTAACATTTTGGAGCAAAATGTCCACAACATAAAACTGATTCCTAATCCAGATGCATATTGTTCTTTTTAAAGGCAGGTAAAGACATTATGATTCTCTCCATCTCCCATTCAGATTAGAACAATTTAATTCATTTTACAAACCTTTAGAAAAGTAAGATTATAGTTGTAATCCACGTAAGTGATTTCCAGATTGCCAAGCACTACTTCACAGTTCTCATACATTCTCTTAAGGTTGTTATAGTGGTCATCCACACTTGCAAGTTGGGTTAGCTTATTGGTTGTTCCTTGACAAACTGAAGAAAGAATAAACATACCATATAATAAACATGGAAATCTGCATGCAAAACAGGTAAACTATGTGCAGAATATGACTTTTCCAAATAGTGTCAATGTAAATTTTCTCACTGAAATTATTACCATCGCTTGGTATCAGAACATAAAATTTAAAATTACATCTATCTCCAACTGAAACAGGAATGTTATAGAAATAATGAAGGCATTTAATGATATTTTTATGATTATATGCATTATTTACACATAATTATAATAGTATAATTATTATTCAAACAATAATCATTCTGGACATGCATTTAATAGTACTTGGAAAGCAAATATGACTGTTAGCTCATTTCAACCAATACTATTATTTCAGTCATAACAAATTATGATTCAATGTAAAATGTTTTAAAATAGATTTCAATTATAGGGTAAGAGTAACAAGGACAAACAAATAAAAAACAAGATACTTTAATATATAAAAGTATGGATTTAAATGTAAATAGTATCAGTATCAATAAATTAACAAATAAACTAATAACTATTAAAATTAAGCAAAGATTTTTGTGAGAAAACTGCAGATAATAATAGTAAATCAAAACTGAGGAATACAAAACCAGACATTCCTTATCTCTAATGAATTATAACTTTCAGGATTTATGGAACAACAACTAACATAAAATTTAAAATGTCTCATATATTGGGGCCCTCCCGATGATACTTGGAAGGACTTTGAAAGGCCTAATTATGCGTTTTCATTGGGAAAGATTAATAGCTCTAGGTGGAGAACAATTAAGATTATTCAGGCTTAGAGCTCAGTAAAGAAAAGAAATTACTGTGTGTCTTACCCTCCATTGTTACCTCTCTGGCAAACTGATAGAGATGAATGCAGCTATTTCTGACTTATGAAAGAAGAATTATTCAATTACATGAAATATAATTTGTGTATGATCTACCTTTTAAAGCATTTATTCTAGAAAAAATGTTACCACTAATCACATCGTATGCATATTATTTTTATGCAGCACAATTTTAAATATGACTGCAGTCCCACCTTAGCCATGAAAAACAGCTGGGTGAATGTGGGTTAGTCACTCTCTCTCACCCCAACCCATTTCCCAGGGCTGTTGTGAGAAAAAAAGAAGAAGGTGTGTTAGATATGTTCGCTGTCTTGAATTATTTATAAAAATAATAAAGGCGAGTTATAAATAAAATAAAATCCCATGGTATCAATAATAATAAAAATAATGCAAAATATTTTGTTAAAAATCCAATTTCAAGTCTTGCCAACTTACTTCTGATGTCTCATGACCTGGAAGGCAGCAAGTACTTGCCATGTTGTTGGCAAGGACCAGGCAATGCAGAGTTAGACCCTGACTGCTTACTTCAACAAGTTTCACAAAATAAGAAACTACTTATCATATTCACTAGTGCTGAAGTTGTTTGTATAGTCTTATTAAATCTTTTGAAATTTTGTACTGATGAATAATAAAAAGCAGTACAAGTCTGAGTGATCTTAGAAATCCCAATACTCAATATACAAATATTTCAATTTATTCCATTATATTCCAAAAGTGCCTAATTTAATAATGCACTGCTGTCTCAGGAGAAATTTATATTAAAAATATTCTGTATGCATCTCTTACTTGCTAATTACTTTCTTTATTGGGGTAAAGAACAAAGAAAAATAAAATTATTGTAACTGCTACCACAAATTCAGATCAAAATAAAAGCTTAAAGTATGTAATGAAAAAAAAACAACCTACAGATTCATACAAAAAAACCAGTATGTAAACAAAATAATTGTGAATACAATTCATATACCAATTACACCTCAAAATTAAGCATGGTTCCTTACCGTAGGAAGCAACAGAATACACTAATCCCTGAGACCTGAACTGTGCTTTTGCAAGCTTTCTTAAAATTAGGCTGGAAGAGATATCTGAATGTCTGGGGCCAAGCTGCAGTATAGTATCTGTAACTGGAGAGACATGACTCTGAATGGGGAAGAAGCTAGCAAAATAATTTGATAATTGGGTGGGGACCATGGCAAAAATGTTTTACACAAAGGGTTCCCCCCAGAGATGGTATTCAGCAGGTTTGGACAAATCGGTAGCAGAATTTTTAACTGGTTTGCCCAACTGCCAAATATCACCTCTGGCTAGCCCCGCCCCCACCTGCCGCTTGCCTCACCCGCCCAGTAACCACTTGCTCTGCCCGCCTAGTCACCACTTGTCCCACTTACCCATTTGCCACTCACCCTGCCCACTCATTTGCTGCTTGCCCTGCCTGCCCGGTCACTGCTTGCCCTGTCTGCTCATTTGCCATTCACCCCGCCCACCCACTTGCCACTTGCCCCACCTGCCCACTCACCCTGGAAGCTTGCAACCACCACTTCTTTCCCAGCCAGAACTGACCCAGCAGTGATGGCTGCAGGGTTCTTGTACCGAAAATTACCAAAAAAAAGGCCTGAAGTCCCATCGCCACTGCCTTGTTCTTTGAGCTGGCCACATACATGCACGCCATTGCCTGCCAGTATGTGGCAGCACTCCATTGCCAGACCTGGCCAGGAGAATGGCTTGCTCCACCAGAACTGCTTATACAGGTGGTCCTTGAATTATGATCATAATGACGCTTGCCCATTAAGGTCAGAACTCAGGACAAACATTAAACGAACTGCTTGAATAAGGTGACCAGACATCCCGCTTTTGGCGGGACACCCCCGCTTTTTGATGCATTTTCCCGCGTCCCGCCCGCTTTTTTAAAAGGCACGCTTTTTTTGGCGCTCGCAGCTCCCGCCCATCAGCTGCTGGGCTGGCTCATCGTTCTGTTCTATGCTACCTACAAATTTAAGCCAGCCCAGCCTGCCGCTCACTGATTTGATTGGCTGGACTCCAGCCAATCAGTGAGCTGGCCAACCAGCTCACTGATTGGCTGGACTCCTTAGCTGAGGACGCATGCGCGAGTCTCCATTTTATTTCGTCTTTGTTTTGGGCAGCTGCGCTTACTCACTGGTGGTGAGTAAATCATGTTTTGTATTGTCTAATTTGGTACCGTGGGAATCGGGAGGCGCTGGGCTGGGGGAAGGAGACAGCCCCCTTGCGGAGTTCGCAGCCAGCCCCTGTGCTGCGCTGGAACGGGCGGCAAAACCT